ACCAAAGTGGCAATATACGTTCTTTTTGCTGTCCTCAATGCCCTGATATATTCCTTGGTGCATGCTGTCAAAAGTGCTCGGTTCGATTCGGACATATCAGACCTCCACAGGTGCTTTAGGCGTCTCCTCCGGCGCTTCTTCTCCCGGAGCTCCTCGGTGAACCAAGGAGGCCTTCGGGATCTGCCGACCCGGAGGGGCCGTAGTGGCGCAATCCGGTCAAGGGTCTCCGATGCTGCCGAGTGCCAGGCAGCAACCAGAGCCTCTGCCGAACTGTGGGCGAGAGTATCAGGAATAACCCCAAGCTCCGTCTGGAACCTCAAAGGGTCCATAAGTCGCCTGGGGCGGAACCACCTGGTCGGTTCCTCCTCCCTACAGTGGGGGTTTGGCCTCCGAAAGTCAAGCCTCAGTAAGCAGTGGTCTGACCACAACAGGGGTATGATCTCATTACCCCTCAGACCAAGATCTCTTTCTTTTTTTTCTTTCTTTCTTTCTCAGCACCCCCACCCCCTCTTTTTGGCCTAGCAGGCTTCAGAAAAGCCTGCTGGGAGCAAAAACGGACCTCCCACATCCCACACCCCACCCCCATGCTTCCAGAGAACCTGTAGTTAAAAAATACTTTAAAAGGTTTTTTTTAAGTTCCAAAGATGAGCTGTGCAATGTGTGATCGTCAGAACGGGTTTGTTAAAAAAACTTTTTTTAGTACTTTTTACTACCAGTTCGGGCGAACCGACCAAAATCAGTAGCATTTCACATCTCCCCAAGTCTCCCTCCATAAAAGAATCTGCAAGTTCCCCAATCTTTCCAGCTTGGCAGACCAATGGGGAGGGGGGAGGCAAGGAAAAGAGGGGATGGTGCCGCACGAGTGGCCGGCAAGTGTACACACACAGCTCCATTTGCACAAGCAACAGCCATGCACACCGGCCACTCATGCAAATGGAACACACACACACACACATTTGCTGCTCACACAAATGGGGATGCGCACGCACACATGCTCGGCCGCCACTTCTGCAACTCAGTTCTGAATGGATCGCGGCCCAATAGTGAGCCAACAGCCCGGGCGTTGGGGACCCCTGTGCTGTAGAATGTGGAGACAATTTTCCAGGGGTGAAATAAAGCAGGTTCTAACAGGTTCTGGAGAACCGGTAGCAGAAATTTTGAGTAGTTCGGCGAACCAGCAAATACAATCTTTGGCTGGCCCCAGAGAGGGGTGGGAATGGGGATTTTGCAGTATCCTTCCTCCAGGAGTGGGGATTTTGCAGTATCCTTCCTCTGACACCCCCACCAAGCCACCCCCCCCCCACAGAACCGGTAGTAAAACAATTCGAATTTCACCACTGCAATTTTCCCACAGCCTATTGATCTTCTCCTAATCCTTTTCTTGGGAAATTACCATGGTCAACATATCTGCTGCCAGAGCATTTCGCAGGAAATTAGATTAATGACACTTTGGCTTAAACCAGCACAACTGACCTGTGGTTTTACTGTTGATATGGGATTCCTTCCCTGTTAGATTGGCATGGAACGTTTAGTCTGTGTTCCTTATCTTAATTGACATTTGTTCTGAAGATGCCAGATTCCGGACTGAGTTAATTTACTTAAAAAATCCCTTTCCGAAAGGCAAATGCCTAAATTAATGGCCCATTATTTCCTTGTGCTAACAGCTCCACAACCTGATATTTGGATATCTTACACATTTCCACCCTAACTACAAATGAAGGGAGCTTCTCCTGAAAGCGATGAACAGCTACCACAAAGTAGGTCACACTGCAGACACCACACAATCATCGACAATAACATAACCCAGGCCCAGAGGCCCTTGTCCTACCTCGGGAATGAGCTGGAAGAGGGCGTTGGAATAAAGAGTGCCAATGGCCAGAGCTATGAAGTAGAGGAGCAGCCGCTTGTAAAAGGTCTTCTTCATGAAAGGAACCACACTGGCCCCGATCAGGGAGCAGAGGGAAATGATGGTCACACAGAGGAAACCGTAACCCCAGACTGCAGGTGTGAGAGAGTCAATCCCGCCCCAATGAAATCACAGGAGGGAGAAAGACACAGGAGGGGAAAAGAACCAGAATGTACAAAAAAAAGAATTCACACCGAGGGATGAAAAGGGGAGACAGAGACAGAGACAGAGACAGAGAGAGAGAGAGAGACAGAGAGAGAAGAGACAGAGAGAGAGAGAGGGAGAGAGAGAGAGATTTATTAATGATTGATACACAAATAAAGATTGATTCAGTCATGCTTGAAGCACTCTTGGGCACTGTAGCACTATGGAAAACTCCTTCTTGATGGGAAGTCCAACATGGTCCAGGAGAAGGGCCTTCTCTACCGTGGCTCCTGCCCTTTGGCACATATTACACACAGACACACCCAGAGGTGAGAATGGCTCCCATCCTTCTGAGCTTTACAAAGACCTGAAGACCTATCTCTGCCAGATGACCTGGGTTCCCCATGAGGGAGCAATCATCACCCTGGAGATGGTTGATGAATGAAGAGGCAATCCCATCTCCTTGCTGTGCACCCTGTTCCCCCTCTCCTCGTTTTTTCCCCTAGAATTTTATTTTGATTGGGATTTTCATTTTTCTCATTTTAGAAACATTCAACTGTCAGGATGCGAATGTTTTTAGGGCTGTACGCTGCCCAGAGTTGTTTTGATATGAGAGGGGTGTCAAATTAATTAATTAATCAAATAAAGTATCTATCTATCTATCCATCCATCCATCCATCCATCCATCCATCCATCCATCGCTGTGTGTGAGTGTGTGAATGTTCCAGCATAACCCTGGAACGCCTTGAGCAATTTCAACCAAACCTGGTACACAGTTACTTGCTCTCTGGAAACAAATACTGTGGAGTAAGAGACCTCTAAAACCCCTAGGAGGGTGTGTGTTCTGTTAAGATACAGCCTGTTGCGCCTTAAAATGACTTCTACTGTACTACCATAAAATGGCTTCTACTGTACAGTGCAGTGGAGTTGCCATGGTAACGGCTTCACAGAACTCCACAAGGGGGCTCCCTCTGGTAAGGGGGAAAATCCAACATTAGAAATTACGTTTGGTCTGGACATTTCCCCCCTATAGATAAATACCTGGGCAACATGGGGTTATTGGCTAATAATTAATAAAAACACAAGGGTGGAGATGAGACCCTCCGCGGGCAATGATCAATAAATATAACCTCGCTATAAGGGTCTCTAGTATTAATCCAATATTTTGCACCAGATTGGAAGTTTTTCTAATTTTATGGCGAGGGTCTGCTCACCGCAATCCAACTCACAGTGTTCAGATCGATACTAAAGCTCTAAGTCTCCAGCCAGGTAGACTTCCAAGTTGTCTCTACTCCACCAGTAGGACATTTTTTTCCAAATCTGTTCAGCACATAGACTCAAGAAGGAGATGAAGTGCCAGAGCCCAAGAGTGATACAGGCAAAACACAAGCCATCCCTTGCCTGCGTATACGCTTCTATCTTCTGTGTGTGTGTCCTATACACTTGTTATAGGACAAACACAGTACTGAAATATTTGTTGCGCGAGGCATAGAGATTCTGAACAACTGATTGGCACCATCATATTTCAACAGTGGTTACAAGACAATTTGACAATGGAGATGGCACATTGACAATTACTTCTCCTCCTGTTGGATCATAAAGACATATTTTAGTTTTCAAGCAACAAAACATTACGTTGACGGTTTGGGAACGAAAATATCCATGAAGTCTATGAAAAAAGGATTACCCAAAACAATGCTATAGGCAGGTTGGCATTATCCAAATAAAACAAAAGTTGAAAGGATTCCTAAGGAAAGGTACTGATTTCTTTTTATTACTTTCTTTTTTCTCCCAATGAGAGAAGCCAATCAGTAGGAAGTCTAACATAGAGACTATAAAAATAGTGTGTTTCCTGAAAATAAGGCAGGGTCTTATTTTCTTTTGACCCCCGAAATAAGCGCTTGGCCTTATTTTCGGAGAGGTCTTATTATTTTTGAGGTGCTGGAGGCAGCGAGCATGGTCGCTTCATGGCTGCTGCTGTGTTGCAATATTTCCAAGGAGGGCTTATTTTCTAGGGTGGGCTTATTTTAGCACATACGCTCAAAAGCCCAATTGGGCTTATTATCCGGGGAGGTCTTATTTTCAGGAAAACAGGGTAGCCTTTCCCATAAAAGGCCAAATGAATGCTCATTCTGCTTCTCACCTTTGCCTGAGGAACAGGGTTATCTAGGCCACCAAAGTTGAGACAGAATGTTATGCCGGAAGACAATTAAGACTTTAAAACCTGCAACTAGAGTTCATGGCTATATTTAAGACATCCCCAAAACGTACAATTAAAAAACCACAATTTACAAAAGATTAGATCTCCAAGAAACCTCCTTCATTAATGAAAATAAACCAATTACTGAAAGAGGAACCAATAAAGGAATCTGAGAAGTCAAGATAAAAGATGGGACGTCCTCCCATATACCGGTGCCAATATGGTGTTCGTTCGTTTCTTCCTTTTACAAAAAAAAATGACCTTTATGGTGCTCAACCATAGCTCTTTCCTACCTACATTGTTTCACAGGCCAAAAAGACACTGAAGTGCTAGAAAACCCGGGGTTAAGTCTGTATGCCTCTCATTTATCATCATGCTATTGCTGTCATCCGTCCTTCCTTCCTTCCCTCTGCCCACTGCTAGCAGTTCGATCCTGACTCAGCCTTCCATCTTTCCAAGGTCAGTAAAATGAGGACCCAGATTGTTGGGGGCAACAGGCTGACTCTGTAAACCACTTAGAGAGGGCTGTAAAAGCACTGTGAAGCAGTATATAAGTCTGTGCTATTGCTATCTTCCTTCCTTCCCTCTGCCCACTGCCAGTAGTTCGATCCTGACTGGCTCAAGGTTGACTCAGCCTTCCCTCCTTCCAAGGTGGGTAAAATGAGGACCCAGATTGTTGGGAGCAATAGGCTGAATCTGTAAACCTCTTAGAGTGGGCTGTAAAAGCATTATGAAGCGGTATGTAAGTCTAAGTGCTATTGCTATCTAACCATGGAGGGGACTTGAGTTATTGCCTTCTACATTTTTGTCGTGTGAAGCGGCCAACATATCCCATGTGCAGGCACAGAAACCATGCACACGCCTGGACATATCACATGAAGGAGAATCTCTATTCTACTCCCTTTATTTTTAGGGAACCTCCCTGGGCCCCGAGTGATGACAAAAAATCCAATTTCAAAAGCCACTGAGAATCAAGCAGCCGATCGGGTACCAGAAGATAAATGGGTGGATGTGATGGGCGACGGGGATCTGTGAGCAGGCGGGGTTTGTTCTTACTGCACCTCTGGGATGAGCTGGAACAGGGCGTTAGAGAACAGGGTCCCGATGGAGAGTGCGATGAAATAAGTTAGGATTCGTGTGAAAAAGACCTTCTCAGTACAGGGCACGATGAAGACTCCAAGGAGGGAGGCGAAGTTGATCAGTGTGACACTGAAGAAACCAAAACCCCAGACTGTAAACAAGAAGAGAGAAGGGCAAGTTTACCCAAATAATTGAAAACTGGGACTGGGCCTTTAAACACAGGAGAGGTGTTTAAGAGAAAGGTGTCAACTCGCAAAAGCCTTTCTAGTCTGCTCTCGAGTTGCCATGGGCAGCAAGGGGGGAGTATATTCTACTCATACCTTCTTCCAGGGTCGGATCTCAGATTACCAAAGTAGGGCCTTGTTGAAGAATGGGATTTATGACACAGACTGAGAGGAGGGGGGAAACTGGGTCAAAACGAGCCATAAATGACATGCGGCAAAGTTGCCCGCACTCGAGTAATGCCCCGACATGCTGCTCCTAATAAATAACTGGTTTTCTCTTGAGATTCATGAGTTAATTAGGGCATCTGTTGGAACCTTGACAAAAGGTCTAAGGCAGGGGTGTCAAACTCAATTTAACTGAGAGCCGCATCAGGGTTGTGTTTGACCTCAGGGGGCTGGGGTGGGCGTGACCAGCTTGACGTCGCTCGTGTCTGGGACACCTGTGGTGTCCCGAGTGCTCTGCCAGTGAAAACAGGCTCTCAAGCTCCATTTTCGACTGGGAAGGCCTCCTGCAACCCTCTGCCAGCAAAAATGGAGCTTGGGAGGGCCGTCCATGGGCCGGTTCTTCACTGTTTCCAGGGTAGCCTTGCGGGCCAGGTCTAAGCATCCCGTGGGCTGCATCCAGCCCGCGGGCCTTGAGTTTGACACCTCTGGTCTAAGCTAATGCCAGAGAAGTTCTTTGGCAAGTTGGCACGGAAGCTTTTGATGAGCAACTCTTCCAACCAGTTGGCTAATTCCCGCCATTTTTTCCCTAAGGATGAGGGTGGGGGTGGAGGAAGCTGTTCAACCTTCTACTCAAACCCAGTCCATGAACAGTGTCAAAAGATCAGACACAGGCAGGGGAGCTAACATGTAACTTGACGAGGCCAAAGCTGGGTGTTGAAAAACAAAGTGCGAATGGAAAAGTTGAAATGTGTATTTTCAGAGACTGAAAGTGCTCGCCACACATGTCATCCGAGTTAAGTCAATCAGTAAAAGTTTGGGTTGGAATTGCTCGGCTTATGGCCAAAGCAAACGCACCGTGGTACTGTGACCAGCCAAAAAAAGCAATATGGGTTAATTATTTTTTAAAGAAAAACATGGATAAAATACGCTAAAATTGTGTTTGTTAATGAGGGACGTAATTGTCTTGCTGACAGACATCTCTGAAAGATAGGAATAGCACTCAGATCATTTCAGATCTTGTATATAACTTCTTCAGCATTCTATTTACAGAGCCCCCCTCTCCCCCCCACCTAATTCACCAAAAGGATGGGGTTAACCTTGGTGGATTTGTTGCTTTTTAAAAAAAAAATATTTTGGGGGATTGGAGGGATTAAATGGGTGCCTTAAGCCTCCAAGGCTGTAAGAAATCTACAATATCCATTAAAACCCCTAAATTAGAAAAAATAAATTAAAACCCCCTAAATTAGAAAAATTGGAATTTAAGGGACCAAAAGAGGCACACATGGCTTTTGCATGAACTCACCGTCTCCTGGTGACTGGCCCAAAGTTACCCAGCCAGTTTTCATGCCTAAGGTGGAACTGGAACTCACCATCTCCTGATGATTGGGCCAGCATGGTAACCCCTACGCCAAACTGACTGTCCAAAGTAGATACTTACTTGAAATTAAGTGGTTGTAAAGCCATCTTTGCAGCAGGGAGGCTCATAAGCTTCCTGAAAACCAGCTTTGGAAAGCAACATACACATTTTTAAAAAAATTAAAAGAGAATAAAGCTTTGTACATCTGCTCTTAGTCCTCTGTTTCTTGCAGCTTCTGTACTACAAGACTAACCTTTTTGGCACAGCGGCAGCTGGAAAGGGAAAACCGATTAGAAGGACACCTGTTCTTCCTTCCACACCTTAAGAAGGCGATTCGGAAGATTTAGACTTCAATGCCATGAAGGGCCAAGATAAAACGGGCCAAGTGCACGCACCTTCTGTAGAGCTCGGTTTCCCTTCCTTCATCCATTCCTCTTCTTCTTTCTCCAGGTTCTCCGGCAGGCAGGCCCTTGACTCCAGCTGCTGCAAGATAGTTGGGCAGAATTCCTTGAATTCGCTCTGCCCCAGAGGGGACGATTCACTCAGATTGTGGGTGGCGAAGAGCTCCGAGGAACTGAAGCACTGCAAGGCAAAAAGGTTGAGATGTCCAGAGACGGTCTTATCCAGGGGTGGGCTTCAAAGATTTTAGCAAGGGGTTCTCTGCATGGTTGCTGGGTGGGGGTGGCCATGGTGGGGGTGGCCTAGTCAGCCTCCTGTATCATTGGGGGGGGCTTTTTACTCTCCCCGGGCTCCTCAAGTCTCCAGGAGGGTGAAAATGTCCTCCCCCAGACTCCAAAAGCCTGTTTCCAGCCTTCTTGAACTTCCAGTAGGCCCATTTTTCGCCCTCCATGAGCCTCCGTGCGCCCCTTGCACTTACCTGCATCCAGAATAAGCCGCATGGGAACTTCTGGGAGGGGAGGGGTGGGGCCAGACATGAATGGGATTTGAGGGTTCTCTGAAGTGCACAGAATCTTAGTTAGAGGTTCTCTCAAACTCCTGCGAACCCCCAGCAGCCCACCCCTGGTCTTGTGCTCCTTCAGACACGCCGGTGATGCATGCCTCTCATCTCCTTTCCTTAACTTCTCAGCCACAGCATCTTCTTCTCCCTCCCTCTCAGGCATTCGGAAGCAAGGCTTACATCCAGTTTTTGACATTCTACAAATTCATGTGAACTTTCACTCCACATTCCCTCCTTTTTCCAAAGATTGTCTAGGTCAGGGGTGTCAAACTCAATTTCATTGAGGGCTGCATCAAGGCTGTGGTTGACTTCGAGGGGCTGGGTGGGTGTGGCTGACCAGTTGACACCACTCTCCAAATGCTGGCATGTTTCCTCTTTGCATTGAGTAGATTGGGCCGAAGCTGCTGTTGTGGCCCACCAGTGGCCAGCAGAGCTGGCAGCAAAGTTAGCCAGTGAGGAAGTTGGGGAAGAGCATGGGTCAGTCTTAGAGGCTGGGGAAGGCTCTGATGAGGGCTCTGTGTTGGAGGCAGAGATGGGGCCAAGCCTGTCTGGCAGTTCTCAGCTGCCCTAGACAGCAGTGAGGCAGAGGAACAGCGGGAGCCTGTTCCCAGAGTGCGCATGCGCAGAGTTGCCAGAAGAAAAGAACAGCTAAGAAATCAGGGTCGACTTGCGAGTAAAGCCATAGGTGGATGGTGAATGGCCCCTCCCATGGGAAATAAAAGAGGAGCAAAAGGGGAGTGGGCTTTTGCAGGAAACCATTCATTCATTCATTCATTCATTCATTTCAGGAGTGTGAAGATCTGTCCGTGAATCTCAGAGACTCTGTGCCCATTCTTTCCTTGCATAGCACTGGTTTGGAAAATATTTACATGGCAGCTTTCCAAGCTAAATAGGGTCTGTGGTCATAAATATTCCTTTGAAAGACTGTTTGCCAGGCCTTTGCTGAATGTGATGGAGAGGAATTCACATTCGTTTAATAAAAAGAGTTTTGTCAGGACCAGGAATCTGCTTTGTGCTTTTGGGGAAACCCTAGGTTGGGAGATTTTTGAGATTTTGAGATTTTATTAATATTTGTAGGCCGCCC